GTCTGCAGGGCAGCAGCAGGCTGGGAGAATAGTTTAACACTTAACAGCATAACTCCATTTGCAAAGGCAGGAAGATCAGCTTAGTCCAAGAATCTTTCTAAATAGCCGTATTTCGAGATTTGTAAAAGCTTGCCAGTGATTCAGCTCACGTCTGCCCAGCGCTGTGCGGGCGAACGCATCTGCTATGGGCAAGAGCGGAGATACAGACTCTTTACAGCCCATTGAAATTGGGAGACAGCAGCCAGGGAACGCGGGGTCAGAAGAGAATGAAGCCTCAGATGTCGTGTCAGGCATCTCTATGTCATTATATTTACCACCCACAAAATTAACAGCATGGTGATACTACTTCATGAGGCTTTATGCCAATATTAAAACACTTCGTGACACAAAGTCTTGGACAAGGCAGATACTGCCTTATCTGAAAGTCACAGAGCACCTAGAGTTTTCAATAAATCTTGATATTACTTACATGACTTGTTTTTGCCTCAGCGTTTCCATTGAGGAAGGAAAAAAAAAATTAGAGGCAGCACAGGGATAAAACCATAAAGTTTTTGCCTCTTTTTAGATATGATACAGTATGAGAAGAGAGGAAAACAGAATCATTTTCAAAAAAAGGAGTGGCACCATTACTCTGTATTTTGGAGCAGGTTTGATTTCAAACTGTCAACTGACTTCCAAAAACTGAAGCAGCTATAAGAACCCAGAGAAGCAAACCAAACAGGAAAATCCCATAGCACCAGAAGAAATGTCAGCACATCACAGGATATGAATAAAATCTTTAAACAAACTCAACCATTCTGGGTGCAGGTCAGACTTGCTGAATACAAACCAATTGAAACAAACAAACACTCCAGAAAAAAAAATTAAATAAAACAAACCACACACATTTATAGCAAAGTCAGGAGCTTCTCACTAGGTGAGCGTTAAGGTCAAGTTTGTTCTTCAAGTCTTTTGCTACCTCCTAAAATCCAGGAAACATTCACATTAATCTCAAAACCACCGGGGTGGAATCCTCCTAACGCAACGGAAGCAGAAAATAAAACTAGATGTTTAGCCCTGACTTTGGGATTGCAGTGCTGGACTTGCACAGAGCTCAGCTGATGCTGCCCAAGCTGAAGTGAACGTTACTTTCTGGCCCAAGGATTCGTATTCGGGACCCCAAGTCGTGGCTGGGCTACTCACCAGCACACAGAAGACCCTGCCTGATTCTGAGCATCTCCTGCCAAGTGCATCCTGCCCCTCAACTGCTATGAAAATCAAAAGCAGCAAAAGCCCTCAAGCCTCACACGGTTGCCTCAACCACTTCCTCTTTAAATGCAGATTCTGTAAAATATTTTGAAGATAAAGCTTTAGAAAAAACAGTTGGCTTTTTAAAATTGCACAATCTGCAAAGACCCCACCAAGTGCCACGTTATCCCATAAAGATGTCAGCTTCTTAGTGACTGCAGCTCCAAGAGAGGGAACAAGCACTACAGTGCTTCCTTATATGTACACCGACTCCACGCGGGCGACACGGACCGTTTCCCCAAATGGTCAAAAAATTAAAGCAACTGCACTGTGGTTTTTGAAAGAGCTCCTTTAACAACACACATCCAAACGGGACACAAGGCAGCAGCGATGCCTATAAGCTTTCCCACTGCTGCCATCAACGTGCTGCACAGCCCACTTCGTTCGGGTACTTTCGCAGCACAGTGTTTTGTAACACAGCAAGTTTTCTACTCTCGCTCCACTAAACTGAGCTGACATGGTTTGTGCCAACCTGCACCGTGTTCTGTGCTTGTGCATCCTCTCTGTGGACATCGGCTGCTTGTAATTTAAAGACTCGGTGCAAACACGGGAAGCGGAGCTCAGAGGTCCTAAACCTACTCCCCTTCTTGGATTCCTGCACAAAGACCGTGACCATCGCCGAGATCTGACCGCTGCCCTCTGCTCTGTGCAACCAGCACCAAAAAAGGAGACGCGAGTGAGCAACGCTAAATGCCCTGCTATCTTTTAGCTCAACTACCAAACCAGCTGGCTGCTAAGGTGAACAAGCCCAGAGCGGCCACCGAGGTGGCAGAGATGGCACGTACCCTCCCGCAGCAGCCTGGGCTGCTCTGCAGGAGCAGTTTGGACCTTGGTCCAACCACCTGTAGGGTCCATCCTGCCCTGCCTCTAAAGACAGACCCAAGGCCCTTCACTACCCTCCTGTTAAGCAGGCCTGGAGTCTGAAGAAAAAAAAGAAGGAAAGTAACTCTTCATTTGCTTCTCTGCCACTATTCCTGTCACTTGATCCCAGTGGGTTGCAATGCCAAGAGCCATCCCTTCGGCAAGGCCGTTCTAAGTGCTGGTGAGCAGCAGCTCCACCATGGGATTTCCTGTTGGACTCCAAGGGCTGTGAGTGAAAGGCAGAGACATCCCCAGTCCTCAAATGGTTTCCCTGCCTCCAAGCACTAGACAGTTGCAACTTTTTATAGATTTATAACTGGTCTCTACAATCCCTGCAGAATTAATTTCATTACTTTAATGTGTGATGCAAAAAAATAGCTCCGTGTCTTCTCATATTTGCAGGTACAAGCTAAAGTAGCCAAGGTGTTAATCTCAAGCCTAAGAAATGAGGGTGAAGTGAGCACATTGCTTGAAGAGTGCCCTGCTCAGCCAAGATGAGAACAGCACTGTCTGCTTTCCTAGTCAGAGGGATTTTTTGGGAGCAAAACCGCAGCAACCAAGCCATAAGGGTCAAGTGAAATCAGAACTGCTGCAATAGGAGGAGGATCAGCCAAGATGAGAACAGCACTGTCTGTTTTCCTAGCCAGAGGGATTTTTTGGGAGCAAAACTGCAGCATCCAAGCCATAAGGGTCATCAGAACTGCTGCAATAGAAGGAAGAAAAAAGCCATCACTGGGTTTATTTGAAGCTGAGCAGTTTCTGCATCTCCCTGGAGCAAGTCGGCGAGAGCTGCCCCACCAGCAGCTCTCGGTTCAACAATATCCTATTTTGCGCTTGGGAGTTATGTAAGAGCAGTCCCAGTCACATGGGAAGCAAAGAAAGGGCATTATTCAGAGCCTGACATGGATGAACCCAGTTTAACACATGCAATTAGAAAACACTGTTCTCTCTGTTCAGTAATATTATTGCACATTCCACTGGTTTTGATAACCTTTTCCTTCTCTCTCTACTCCACCGAGTGACAGCCAAGCTGGGAAGTTGAGTAATGCCTTCTCCCAGGATCAGTCAGCACACATCCCTGCCCTGGCAGGCTAACCTGCAAACACACAGGGCAGAGCTAAGGAAATGCAGTAGGGAGGGCCCTCTGCTCCATTTGACAGGGA